TAATTAGGAAATTAGAAACAAAAGTACTGGTTGCTAAAAAATCTTCTTCTCAAGAACCACTGGGCAGATTATCACAAAACTTGCACAAAGGATGAGGATATGTTGCAGATTAAAAATTGTTCAAGGCATCACCCTGGGGCAAAGGGCGTGGTCTCAAAGTCACTTCAAAGTTGACCAAAAATTACATTTTATTAAAATGTTTATATTTTGCTTACCATGAGGACTAGGATCATCAAATCTTGTCAGTTGATGCATCTAAGGACCTCATATCATGTTGACTCAAAAGTAGGTCACGTTGACCTACTTTTTAAATTTTGCGGCCATTCATTTTCAAAATGATTTAGAGGCATATTTTGAACAATTTAAGGCCTTTGTTCATCAAACTTTGTCAGTTGATGTATCTTGGGTCCTCGGAGTACATCAACTAAAAAGTAGGTCACCTTGACCTACTTTTTGAACTTTTTTTATGGGTAATCTTTTTCAAATCAATTAAGGTCATTAATTTGAATACTGAGAGGTTTAGAATCATTAAATCTTGTAAGATGATGCATCTTGGGGCCATAAGATATATTTTATTTATTAAAAAGTAGGTCACAGTGACCTACTTTTTGAATTTTGCAGGCTTTCGATTTCAAAGCATTTTAGAGGCATAATTTGGACATTTTAAGGCCTATGATCATAAAACTTTGTAAGTTGATGCATCTTGGGTCCTCAAAAAACGTCAACTGAAAAGTAGGTCACCTTGACCTACTTTTCAATTTATATGACTATAATTAAGTATTTCAGGTATTATTTGGCTTAGAATCATCAAACTTTGTCAGTTGATGCATCTTTGGTCTTCGGAGTAGGTCGACTAAAAAATAGGTCACCAGGACCCACTTTTGAAAATTTATGGCTTTAATTTAATATTTCGGGTACTGATAGGCTTAGAATCATCAACTTTGTCAGTTGATGCATCTTGGGTCCTTGGAGTACAACAGCTGTAAAGTAGGTCACGGTGACCTACTTTTGAAAATTTATGCTTTAATTAAATATTTTGGGTACTAATTGGCTTAGAATTATCAAACTTTGTCAGTTGATGCATCTTGGGTCTTCGGAGTAGTCAACTAAAAAGTAGGTCAACGTGACCTACTTTTGAAAATTTATGACTTTAATTTAATATTTTGTGTACTTATTGGCTTAGAATCATCAAACTTTGTCAGTTGATGTATCTTGGGTCCTTGGAGTACGACAACTGAAAAGTAGGTCACGATGACCTACTTTTGAAATTTTGTGGCTGTATTTAATATTTTCGGGTACTATTTGGCTAAGAATCGTCAAAATTTGTCATTTGATGCATCTTGGGTCCTGGGAGTTTGTTGACTGAAAAGTAGGTCACCGTGACCTACTTTTGAAAATTTATGGCTTTAATTAAAATATTTTGGGTACTAATTGGCTTAGAATCATCAAACTTTGTCAGTCAATGTATCTTGGGTCCTCGGAGTACAACAACTGAAAAGTAGGTGTCACCGTGACCTACTTTTGAAAATTTATGGCTTTAATTAAATATTTCATGTACTAATTGGCTTAGAATCATCAAACTTTTTCAGTTGATGCATCTAGGATCCTTGGAGTACAACAACTGAAAAGTGGGTCACTTTGACCTACTTATAAAATTTTATGGTTATAATTTTAAAAATATTTTAGGTATTAATTGGCTTAGAATCATCAAACTTATTTGATGGGTCCTCAGAGAATGACAAGTGATAAGTAGGTCACCATGACCAACTCTCAGGTACTAGTTGGCTTAGAATCATCTTGGGTTCTCAGAGTGTGAATTGGAATTTCAAGGGTTTATCTAAATATACAGGATACTTAGAGGCTTCAAATAGAAGTGATAGGTTGTACAGTTTATCAGAAGAGCAATTCAAGGCCCAAGGGCCTCTTGTTTTAAGTGAAACTATCACAGTCAAGATCCTAAGTCGAACAGAAGACCTACTCGTTGCTTTGCAACGAGCTCTGCTCTAGTTATTATTATTATTAAAGTCTTGTGTCTCAACGGAAGACCTTTTAAGTAATCTGTTGTTACTTTTCAACTTTTTTTATTATTATTATTCTTACCTATTTTGTGCACGCGATTATTCGTAAATGCGTTGATGGATTTTCATGAAATTTTCTGGAATGATGGCAAATCATATGAAGTTAAGGCATTTTTTTTCTTATTTTGATGACGTCACTTCCGGTCGCGAGTTATTCCCGATTTTCTTTATATTAAAATTTTGTCCGGGTCTCTCCTCTAAAATGGTTAAAGATAGAGTCATGAAACTTTCTGGGATAGATCATGATCTGTAGATTTGTCTCCGGTGTTTCGTTTTTTCCGGAGTCACTTCCGTTGTCCACCGGAAGTAGTTTAAAAATATGCAATTTTTAATTTTTTTTCATTTTTAAATGTTTATAACATTGACATAAACAGTTTTTCAAGTCATTTCATTTCCACTGGAAGTTGGTTCTTGTAAACTGGAAGTTGTCCAGAAATGGGTATTTTTCATCGAAACTTTCTGGAAAGATTTGTATAAACTCATTATGGAGTTTTAAGTTGTATTAAGTACTTATGGTCATACCGGAAGTGAATGAAAAAGAACAGGAAATTGCTTGAAATTAAAAGATATCACTCTTCTATGTGTTTCTAAATATATATTGAATAAATTCAAGTGCCTATTTCATTCATCTATATTTGTTCTTCTTTCTTTTTTAAGTCAAACTATCACAGTCATGATCATATTTCATCGGTAATCTGACGGAAGATCTTCTTGTTGCTTTGCAACAAGCTCGTCTAGTTATGTTTATAATCTGTTTTTGATTTCCCTGAACAGTGTTGTCAAGGTTACTAAAGAAAGATACAGTCAAACCTCATTATTTTGAACTATATGAAACCAATAATAAATTTCATATATCTAATGATTCGAGCTTATCTCAAAATTATTAGGTAATGTTCTGGTAGCCAGAGGTTTTTGGTAGGAAAACCATCATTAAATGACCCCATTGGACCCCCAGGGTGAGAATGAAAATTCCAAAACCTTATTGCGTATCTACAGGAAACTACCAGTAATCTTCCAAAATTTAAGTGGAGTTCTGGAAACAAATGTTTGTTTTTTTTTGGGTACAAAAACATCATTTTTGACCCCCATTTGACTGCTAAGGTAAAATAAAAATTCACAAACCTTATTGCACATCTACGGACACCACCGATCATCTTCCAAACGATGATTAGACTGCTTTGTAAGTAGAGTTCTAAGATCCAGGGTTTTTTGTATTGAAAAAACATCACTTTTCGACTCTTATATGACTCTGAGGGTGAAAATGAAATTCCAAAATCTTATTGGACACCTCCATCCATTTTCTGAAAGAAATGATCAAATGTATCTAAAATGTACCTCTTTTTTTTTAAGCTCACTTGAGTTTTTTTTTCAAATCAAAATTTGTCCCTAAATGTCGTTGTTACCGTAAACTTATTAATATTTCATCTTCTTCTGTAGAGCCACTGGACCAATTTCAACCAAACTTGGCACAGTGTACCTTTGGATAAAGGGGATTCAAAGTTTTGAAGTTAAATAAAGGGACAGAACGTCTTCCAAAAGGAAATAATTTTTTTTAAAAAGTAAAAATTGGGTTGGATCCTTTAAAAATCTTCTTCTAGGTCAGAAACTGTGAAACATGTGAAAGCTTCCTGACATAGTGAAGATTCCGATTCGCTCAAATTGTTCAAATCATGACACCCAGTAGTAGGGTGAGGAAACGAGTATTCTAAATTACTTGTGACATGATCTCTATGATGACCTCACTTCATATAATTATACCCCCGCAAACGAAATTTGGGGGGTATTAGTATATTGGAATCAGCTTGTCCGTCTATTAGTCCATCTGTCTGTCCGTCTGTCTGTTACAAAAATGTGAATTGCAGCTTAAAACTTTTCATTAAAACTAAAACAAATCACTAATTATTAAAAGATGTTTTTGGAAGTTAGTCCCTATAAATCTAAGAGCCATGCACTAATCTTATTAAAAATTTTGCATGAAGATTACAGTTCTTTTTTTTATTATATAAAGCATTGTAACAAATTTAACAAAAAAAAAAATCTTGGTTTTCAACAAAATGACATAAATATGCATTTAGTACTATACAGAATCACGGTGCATTACACAGTAGATATGGTAAATCCATTTGTCCCTTGGGAGTAATGAGTGTACATACATCCAGTTCAAGATTAATTGATGAGTTCAGTGTGAGATGCCGTTAGAGCAACTCTGATCTAGTAGGTGTTATCTGCATCTCTTGGGAATTGGGCAAAAGAATAAAAGATCTCTGTTTTCTTACTCTCTAAATTGTACTTTATAGTCTGGCAAATAACAATACATATTTACTGGATGACCAGCATTTTAGTTTTAAAAAAGAATTTGGTAAAAAGTTATCAAGATTAATTTGATATTGTATAATAATTTTTTTTCAACAAAAAATTGCAAAGTGTCAGGTCTCATAAAGATGACACATAGTTGCAATTTATTTTTTCAATCAAATAAAAAACAATATACTACATGTAATTAGTATTGATGTTTTATTAGGCAACACCTTAGTTCATCGATCATTAAAAAAACAGAGCAAATAAATTTCCCTGTGAGAGTATTTACCGATAACCAATTAATATCTATAGTGTAATAATTATAACTTGTCATTTGGTGGTAAATTGAAGCTACAGCATGATGTCACCATTTTCTTGTAAATGAACTCAGAAAAAAATCTTATTTAGTACATGTATGTAGACAGTGCAGTAAGGCCCAGCTACTTAGATAAGGGTTTTGGCCCATTGGTCTCTTCCTTCGGCATCATTGAAACCGTTATATTCCATAGCATTTTATTATATATTTAAATAAAAAGTTAATCACAACAAACGCAAAGAATAAACTAAAGGATAAGAAATAACTTCAGTGCTAATACCTTCTACCATTTCTTTTTCTTCTAGTCACAGATGATGGCTTTCAGGTGCATTGTTACCATGTTTCTCAATACCTTGTTCATCTTTAGAAATGCAGGTATGCTACTGTGTTTTTAGATAATCAAGAAAACTTTCAAAACTAATGCTATGAAAGATTATTTTAAATCTGTAAATGAATTATATATTTTTATCATGTACAATATATTTGGCAGACATAAAGAGCTCGACCCACAATGTGCCATTTTTGGCCTAGCAAATTTGAAAAATTAAAACAAAGCTTTAGAATAATTTATAACATTTACCAAATTAATTTATGCAATAGTTCCCTCCCATCGGATATTTATTACTGCACACTAATTGCCCAAACCCTATGCAGTTTCGAGTTTTCCGGAAAAATCTCGCTGTTTTACCCACTTCGATCTTAAAATTCACATAGAGCACATTTGTTACGGTTTAATTTTATTTCAAAATATTAAAATACATCATCAAATCAATATTTCAGATAAAAAATATTTAACTGTAAACAATGTGACCAGGTCGAAAAAAAAAAAATTAAAATATGCACGGCAACTTCAAAAGTATCGTCTGGAAGCTGGATTCCAAGAAAATAATCATGTAATACTCAGAAACATATAAACCCTTCGAAGCAGTTGATATTACTAGATATATATACTACACAAAGGTGAGTGTTTTATGTTTTTCAAATTTATGAATCAATTGTTTAAAAAATATTAAGGAAATTAATTAAAAAGAATTGGAAAATTCTATATGCGATTCTGTTACGTTCAAGCTACAGTACATGTAAAGCTACGTTGTCCATGTAACATTATAAAATAAGTATAGACTGAAAATCAATATAAATTTTCATTACAATTTAACTAAGACAAAAAAAAACTTGGATTAAAATATACAGATCTCTACATAGCGCACGCGCAGAGAGTTTGCCAACGACCCATTGAGTCGACCCAATGACTCTGCGCTTTGCGCTATGTAGAGATCTGTATTTTAATCAGATTGGTGTTAAAATATCTTTTAGGCCTCTTTGATTTCCCAAAGCTACATGTAGTCTATATTTTGTCAAGTGTATCTGATTATGTTTACACAACATTCTTTGTGTGTATTCACACCTATGTACTACAGTTATCCTATTCGCAAAACTAAAAGTTTGGCAATATAAAAGAGAATATTTCTTTTTTACACATACACAAATACACAACTTTCAAACCACATTTTTGATGGACAACATGATTGATGTAAGACTACAATAGTGCAACAATTTTCTTATTATATTTTTCAAGGATTAATAGTTAATGGGTGCTGTATAAGTATACAATTAAATTCACAACAAACTAATGCAATATAATAATTTTAGTTAAATATATCTGCTGTAAAATGAATATAAATATATCTTGTTTGATGATATTAGAATAACTTTATATAATATGGCCAAAAAAGTCTTTGTTAATTTTTTTAATTTCGTAAAGGGCAATAACTTAGATTAGCTCAGCTGGCATCAAAAACACAGAGTGACACAACCAAAAGGAACAAGAATTTCCTTCTAATTCAATTATATTTGCATAAATATTTTTTGTTTTGGTATGAGTCAATTAATAAATGTAATAAAATGAAAAAAAAAAAAATCAAACAAACCCTCCCCCCAAAAAGTTTATTGTTTTATTTTCATAAGGGCAATAACTCAGATTATCTTGGCTAGAACCTAAATAGTATTTTTAAACAAGAGGCCCAAGGGCCTTAACGGTCACCTGAGTACAATACAACAATTTTAGAGGATCCATAAACTGATAAATGAAGCTTTGTTGCCCATAAGCAAGAAAAATAGTATGATAAGCATCAACAAAATAATTGGTACAGAATCTATCTGTTCCCCATTTATTACTATTACCATGCAGACTATTAACAAAATGTTTATTTTTAATCCCAAATTACTACTTCTCACATTGGTCTCTCTTGGCCTTTGAAGAACATTAAAAAAGATAAGTTTTTTTTGCCTCACTTTTATTCATCTATTATTTCCAAGTCTACCTGATCATTAAAACTATGAAAGTACTTTTTGTATTATACAATAAATATTCTTGTATAATTCTCTTATTCTATTAACCTTTCAAATACATTATTTACTGTGATAAATTATCGAAGGTGAATGGCAAAGGGGAATAACTTTGCTCAGCAGAATACAAGTTCATAGAGCCCTGGCCAGGACCAGAACACTTGACTAAATAATCCAGGTGTTCAAAATTCTGGTAAAAATACCCTTGCATATTACAACTTTTACTCTGTTTGCCTCGAATATACCCAGAAGCATAGAAGATTTTCAAAGAAATGCATGTTCACTATATTATTAAATAAATAAAGCCCCCCCCCCCCCTTACACCAAAACATCTTACCCAGGGGCCATCATAACTATACACTTGTTTCTTTGCTTTATTACCAGTAGTAGAAAAAATATTTTGAAAGAAATTATGCATTTTCACTATAAAATCAATAGAGCCCCCCCCCCCTCCATTCACTAGAACCCCTGACCCAGGGGCCATGAATTTCACAATTTCGGAAGAGGCATTCTTCCTTATCATAACCATGCACTTTCTTTGTTTGAATATTACCCAGGAGTAGAGAAGAAGATTTTGAAAGAATTTATGCATTTTCCCTATATAATCAATAGAGCCCCGCCCTAACCTAACACCAGAACCCTTCACCCAGGGGCCCAACATTCACAATTTCTGAGGAGGCAGCCATGTTCATCATAACTATGTACTTAGTTTATTTCATATCCAGGAGAGAGAAGATTTTCAAAGAAATAATGCATTTTCACTTTATATATCAATTGAGCCCCACCCTGACACCAACACCCCTGACCCAGGGGCCATGAAATTCACAATTTTGGAAGAGGCCACCATGCTCATCATAACTATGCACTAAGTTAGTTCATTTAATACCCAGGAGCAGAGAAGAATCAATGCAAATAATCAATAGAGCCCCGCCCTAACACCTGAACCCCTGACCCAGTGTCCATGAAATTCACAATTTCTGAAAAGGCAGCCATGCTCATCATATCTATGTTCTTATTTAGTTTATTTAATATTCAGGAGCAGAGAAGAAGATTTTCAAAGAATTAATATATTTTCACTATATAGTCGATAGAGCCCCGCCCTAACACCAGAATCCCTGACCCTGGGGCCATGAAATTCACAATTTCAGAAGAGGCTCTCTTGCTCATCCTAACTACTTACTTAGTTACTTTATTTAATACCCAGGAGCAGAGAAGAAGATTTTCAAAGAATTAATGCATTTTAAACTATATAATCAATAGAACCCCGCCCTAACACCAGAACCCCAGACCCTGGGGCCATGAAATTCACAATTTTGGTAGAAGCACTCTTGCTCATCATAACTATGATTGATTGATTGATTGTATATTGTTTTACGTCCCATTCCAGAATTTTTCACTCATATAGAGATGTCACCATATACTGGTGAAGGGCTTCAAATTTTGACCTTTACTCGGCACTCAGGGCCATTGAGCAGTGAGGGATCTTTATCATGCCAACGCCTGCCGTGACATGGGGCCTCGGTTTTTAAGGTCTCATCCGAAGGACCCGCAACTTTCACTTCAAAGTGCCAAGTGCATGGCGAAGGAACAGTTGCTACCTAATTTTTTATCGACTTAGGTCTGTCGCGGCCGAGATTCGAACTCACGACCTCCCGATCACAGAGCGAGTGCTCTACCAACTGAGCTACAGTGAACGGTCATCATAACTATGTACTTAGTTACTTTATTTAATGCCCAGGAGCAGAGAAGAAGATTTTCAAAGAATTAATGCATTTTCACTATATAATCAATAGAACCCCACCCTTACACCAGAACCCCTGACCCTGGGGCCATGAATTTCACAATTTTGGAAGAGGCACTCTTGCTCTTCATAACTATGTACTTAGTTACTTTATTTAATACCCAGGAGCAGAGAAGAAGATTTTCAAAGAAATAATGCACTTTCACTATATGATCTGTATAGCCCCACCCTGGGGCCAGAACCCCTGACCCTGGGGCCATGAATTTCACAATTTTGGTAGAGGGCTCACTGCTTATTACAATGATGCCAACAGTTTGACTGCTTGATGTCCAGGAGTAAAGAAGAAGATTTTTAAAGATTGCATAAATTTTGGTGGTTTAGCCCTACCCCTCAGGCCCCAGGGGGGCAGGGACCATGAAATTCACAATTTTTGTTCCCCTTCACCCATAGAAGCTATATACCAAATTTGGTTGAAATTGGTTGAGCGGTTCTGGAGAAGAAGTTAAAAATGTTCAAAAGTTAACGCACGACGGACGAGGCACAACTACGGACGAAAACGGATAGCAATAGGTCACCTGAGTGACTCAGGTGACCTAACAAGACACACATACACAAACAATATATATGAGAAATTCTTTTTAAACTATTAAATGTACATATTTGTTTGTTTGTTTGTTTTCTTATAGAGAGAGAGAGAAAGAGAAAGAGAGAAATTAATTAATTACATGTAATATAGATTATTAAATCTAATTGACCAAATTAAAAAAAAAATATTAAGAAACCAAATAATTCTAGTACTTGATTGTCTTATTTTTTTATCATCAGGACCACATAAAATTCACTCAGTAACCATAGCTTTGTACATGTATCTACAAATTAAATGTATAGGGATTTTTTCCCACAACTTTACCATGTTTTGGAGATAGATACTTAGGTCATAAAAGAGCATTCTTTGTAATTATATATCATATAATTAATTTGATATATATCATACACTCATTTCAATTGTAGTTTTTATTAAAACAAATATATGCTATATAAGATAAACTCTAATTAAATAATCATATCAATATTTCAGATATGCCTGGTTCAGGTCCGAAAAACTATGGCTGTTTCAACTGCCCAAAAAGAGTAAGACAGAAAAACAGACATAGTATATTGTCCAAAAATAGATCCATCATCGCCAAACTAACAGGGAGGACACCATCTGATAGTGATTTCCTGTGCAACAAATGTTGATGTATGTGCCATTATCATGCAAAACAGAAGAAAAAATCTAAGTCAGTCA